GCATCATACAAGCTGCTTACCAAGGTGCTTGTATGCTGCTTCCAATTATGTAGACATAAATCATTTAGCTGCATCATACAAGCTGCTTACCAAGGTGCTTGTATGCTGCTACCAATAATGTGGACAGAAATCATTCACACCACATGCACATATAATCCATTTTATTTAGCATGCATAATCACATACTTCCAATTAATTCATGCTTATTAACACATAAACACCTAATGTACCTTAACCCAATATGTCTGAAAGCCTGGTTATCATATTATTCCCCCCTCAAAAGAATTTCGTCCCGGAATTCACATTTCAAACAACCAAGGATAATGGGTTCTCATCTCTGATTCCAACTCCCATGTTGCTTCATAACCCTTATGAAACCTCCACTGAATTTTCACCAGCTTGATTTCTTTATTTCTTAGAGTCTTGACCTTACTGTCAGTTATGGCTTCTAGTGCCTCTTGGAAGTTTAACTTCTCATCTAACTTGATATCTGGAAGTGAGATGGCTTGGGTGGCCTCTGCCAAACACTTACGTAAGTTGGAGACATGGAAAGTGTTGTGGATGAGACTAAGCTCTTCTTGTAGCTCTAGCTGGTAGGCTACTGCTCCAATTCTTTTGCAAATTTTGAAAGGCCCAACATATCTTGGACTGAGCTTTCCTTTCTTCCCAAACCTCATTACACCCTTCCAAGGAGATGCTTTCAACATTACCAGATCTCCCACAGAGAATTTAATTGGTTTACGTATTTGATCAGCATAACTTTTTTGCCTGTCTTGAGCAGTCTTGATTCTGGCTCTAATCTGCTCAATTTTCTCTGCTGTGACTTACACAATTTCTGGTTCTGTTAACTGTCTTTCACCTACTTCATTCCAGCATACAGGAGTTCTACATTTGCGCCCATACAGAACTTCATATGGGGCTGCCTTAATGCTGGAATGATAGCTGTTATTGTATGCAAATTCAATCAAAGATAGGTGATCTTCCCAGCTTCCTCCAAAATCAATTATGCAAGCCCTTAGCATATCCTCCAGAGTCTGAATGGTTCTTTTACTCTTTCCATCAGTCTGTGGGTGATATGTTGTGCTAAAATGGATTTGAGAACCTAAGGCCTTTTGGAAACTTCCCCAGAACTTAGAAGTGAATCTGCTATCTCTGTTTGAAATGATAGACAATGGAACTCCATGCTTGGTCACAATTTCCTTAATATATACAGTTGAGCCAGCCTCTAAAGAGTATAACTTTCTTTCATAGGCAGGAAATGTGCAGACTTGGACAATCGATCAACTATTACCCATATTGCATCAAGACCTTTTGGTGTTCAGGGTAATTTCATTATGAAGTCCATTGTTATATGGTCTCATTTCCAGACAGGTATTTCCAAGGTTTGCAAGCTTCCATAAGGGTTTTGGTGTTCAATCTTTACCTGCAGGCATGTCATACACTGCTCAACATACTCAGTTATGCTCCTCTTTAGTCCTGGCCACCAGTAGAACACTTTCAAATCCTTGTGCATTTTATTGGTGCCTGGGTGTATTGAGTAACGAGACCTGTTACTATCATTCAAAATGATCTTCCTTGTATTCCCATGGCATGGCACCCAGATTCTGTTTTGAAAACAAAACAACCCTTGATCATTCTTTTCTAAGTTGGCAAGCATCTTTCCCAATCTTTCTGCCTTGATGTTCTCTTCTTGAATAGCCTCTGCCTGATATCTCTGTATCTCCTTATGAAGGTCCAGAGATAGATTTATGCTCATTGCCACAGCTTTGATAGTTCCACTTTTCTATTTGCGGCTTAGAGCATCAGCTACAACATTGGCTTTTCCTGGATGGTAAAGAATTTCACAATC